AAAGTTCTATATTTTTATTAATCTATTAAAACTATGACTTTCTAACTTTACTTTACATTTTTGAGTAAAGTTAACTTACTTTACATTACCTAGTAAAGTAAAGTTAGAAAGTCATAGTTTTCATAGATTAATAAAAATATCGAACTTTCTCAACTTTACTTTTTCAGATAAAGTAAAAAATACTGTACTTTATTCAGTAAAATAAAGTTAAATACTTTACTTTACCCGATAAAGTAAAGTTCAGTAACTTTACTTTATCTGGTAAAGTAAAGATAAAATGCCACTTCTAATGCTCATTGTATTCAAATTTTTTTTCAATCTATGAATGCAAGAAAATAAGTAAATATATAGGGTGATAGAGAACTGACGCTCTATCCGAACATATAATCGCTTTTTTAAAAAGGTAATTCTATGGTAATGAAAAATTTAAACAACTAATTTTGACGACAGTGACATAATCAAGTCTGTGGGAATCTGGATATGAGGGTGCCTTCATTCCACTTGATTAATTTCTCAGGAGGTAAAAGCAAACTACAATCAAAATACACAGTTTGATAGACAATTCCAAGTGCTATCGAATGGTATAATTACTTTTCTCAAAATGTCCTTTTCGAGTGTCAAAAGTGCTGAAATACCGAGTGCAGCTTTTGCTTTCCAGGAGTACTGGTCTACATAAAGTATATCGAGGACCAACATATACTCTGTCAATGGAATATAGCACTTTTCGTGTGTGCTTAGCTAATCTGGCGAAAGATGACCCATTTGGATATAGTTAATCCCGAGAGTGATCAGCGTTAGTCAAAATGAATTAAAATGTGGTCGATTTTCTCCGGGCTTCGCTGGTCTACGCTTTCTCTGTCGCTACTGTTTCCATCATTATCCGAGCATATTCACTTGATTCTGACCAAAACTAATCAATAAGCTTATTTTGGGGCATAATTAGAAAACTTGATAAATCTGACAACTATCATTTTTTCGTACAACACGACATAGAGCTACGAGTGATTAACAACAAATCATCGAGGCATATGCCGTTCTTTTTGAAGGAAACGGAAATGGACGCACAAGATCTCTATCAGCAATTTATTGCTATCGCATTACGGAACGGAAAAAAGCCAAGCCTGGTCACAGAACATGGTGATGAGCTCACTTACAATTCGCTCTTGGTCAAAGTAGCCCGACATCGGGAACGCCTTTCATCACACAAGGTGGGTCTGATGCCAGGTCAGCTTGTCGCCGTATATCTTGGCGAACGTGGAATCAACGTGATCGTTAGCATCGTGGCTGCTCTGGCATGTCGAACACCTTTTCTTCTGCTTGAGCACTCCATACCAGATCTTCGACTCAAAGCGATACTCGAAGATGCTCGACCGACTCTTGTCATCACTGATCGTGTGTTGAAAGCATCTCTTGTATCTGCAGGTCTCGTTCCACCAGAACAAATCTTAGTCTTCGACGATAATCATGACGACAATTTTATGGAGGAACAACAAAGAGAGCTTACAGCTACCTCTTTATCCTCTTCTCGGCCTCATTTTCGACCTGACGATACTCTCTATCTTATCTATACATCGGGTTCTAGTGGGACACCGAAGGGAGTTCTTGTACCACATCGAGCCGTTTGGAATCGATTCGAGTGGATGTGGCGTGTTTATCCGTGGGGTGACAATGAACGCCAAGTCTGGAAGACATCGATCATGTTCGTCGATAGTATCTGGGAGATGCTCGGTGGCCTTTTACGCGGTGTACCAACGGTCATTGCATCATGTGCCGTGGCCAACGATCCCTATTCTCTTACGTACCTCATTCAACGACGATACATTACTCGTCTGACACTCATTCCTACCATGCTCTCATCTATTCTAAAGCCTTTTCCTGATCATGGCACACGACAACAGTACTTTCGATCGATCAATTTGATTATTGTCAGCGGTGAGACATTAACCAAGATCGCTTATGATCAATTTCGAAATGCCATTCTACCTGGTGTCACATTGCTCAATTTGTATGGTTCAACAGAAACGGGTGCCGATGCCACGTTTCACGAGATTGACACGACGAGCGATTATAGTTCGTTTGAGTCCATACCAATCGGAAAGCCAATCGATAACATGAAATATATCATCATTGATCCAATGAACGGTCCGACAGAGCAATCAACTGGCGAGCTCTTGCTTGCGGGTGCCGGGTTGTATAAGGGATACCTCAATCTGCCTGATATGACGAAGACAAAAGAAGTCACCATTGGCGAAATGGTCTATTTCAAAACGGGTGATCTTGTTCGGCTCGATGAACGCACGGGCTGGCTGGTCTTTTGTGGTCGATCAGATACGCAAGTCAAAATTCGCGGTTGTCGTCTTGAGCTGGAAGAAGTCAAAGCCGTGCTCTCCCAGTATCCATCGATCAAGAGTGCTGCCTGTTTCATGAATGACGAAGGACAACTGATTGCTCTTTATGAGATGATGACAACCGACAAAGATCAGGATATAGATCGGGATGAATTGAGTCGTTGGATTTGTTCAAACCTTGCGCGCTTTGCTTTACCAATCGCTTTTTACAGCGTTTCGGTTCTCCCTCGTACGGCCACAAGAAAAATTGATCGATCAAAGTTGCCATTAACTGTTGCTCAATTGATCTCCCATTGTTCAGACAAGCAATCGTTCGACTCCGGTTCAAATAAGAACGATCATTCTTCTACGTTTGCCCCTCCAAGTGCTATATGGAACCGTGCATTGGGCATTGAAACATCGATACCAACTGCAAACAAGACATTCACACAACTCGGTGGCCACTCCCTTTTAGCCATTCAAATTCAACGCGAAATATATGGTATAGATGATTTCAGTAACATTAAGCCAAGGTTGAAGTTGAGTTATCATCGCTTCGTCAGTGATTTTTGAGGGAGTAATGTAGATAGTCTCGACCGCACGTTGATAGACCTGCTGATAGTCAGGGATAGGCATCCACAAAGGAAGTACACTCCACGACCAAGGTACTGTATATAACAAGCGATCGAATATTCTTACTTTAAAGCGAGTAGAATTGCTGCTATTCAGCTCGGTTTCCATGTTAGTTGAGAATGCTACCGAAAAACTTGCTGCGTAATGAAATTCGACGACAGTATTAGGCAATGAATCTTCAACCAGTGAAAATTGAGCAAAGAATATATCAGTTGTTTGACGGATGCACACATATAGTCGTTGAAGTTTGATCATTCCACGGAGAAGATCAGCGAAATGATTAAACATTAATCCACTCTTGAATTCAACGAACGAGAATTGAATTAAGTGATGATGAACAAATGAGAATGGTTGTAGTTGATCAGCTAAACACAAAACAGAACATACATCTCCAACCCTGAGACTTAAAAAGAAGAGAGTGATCAATTTTTGAACAACACTGGACAATACCGAAAGAAAGTTTCATGGCCAGTTCTCATTTTGAAAGTGCTGAGTTGAGCACTAATCATCTTTACTCCACATTAATCAGTAAAGAAAAGATTCTCAAACTTTTGCTAGAACTGTTGAGTGTTTTAATCGTCATCGATGACTATGACTTACAGTATTGTTGCGTTCGCTTCAGATCAACACGGAGATTCTGCAAAAATGGCATCAGTTCCCGGTTGAGCAACAAGACCAAATCGTCGATTGTGTCAAGTTTAAAATACACTTGCTCGAGTTGAGAGGCAAGACACGGTCGTAATTGATTGTGTAGTACGAGACCGGATGCCATGACTAGGTTCAGATTGCGCAAAGCGTCACCGACTCCACTGCTGAACAGAAAATCCCTTAAGGCGACCAAATCTGGTGCTGCCATTTTGGAGTGATCTTGATCGCCATCGAAAACGTTCAAATGTTCAAGTTTCGATTGATTCGAGAGCCAAGCAATGAGTGAAGAACTTATGCTACTGCATGACTTGAGAGTGAGTTTGTTTAGATTGACTAATGAAATTTGATGACATAATGATAGAAAATGTTCGATCAGACACGGAATGTGCTCGTTGCTCAATATCAGCTGTAATAGTTCCAAGTGAGGCAATAGCTGATCGACCACGAAACGGAAGTCGGAATAGGACAGCGTGTTCAATACGAGTTTTCTACAATAATCGATAACGACACGATGCAAACGATCCGAAGTATCCTTGAAAAAGGCACGAAGAACGTCGATGGGATGAAGATAACGACAGATGATTAACAACAATTCGTCAGGAAGATCCAACAGATGACTGACGCGACAACATTCGTCTAGATACAAAATAACATTAGTTAATTGTGTTCAGAACAATTCTTGTCACTACCTTCGATTCATTTTTAGAAAACTCAAAGATCTCTTTTGAAAGACTAGACGACATAACCTTTTTCCTATTCTACAGTATACGTGACCTATTAGTCCGAACTTGCTTTATCATTTGTAATTGTATCGATTTTAGAACGAGGAATTCAACATAAGACTTTAATATTTTTTCAAAATCGTTTCCACGAATATGGATGAACAACAGTTCAAATGAAAAGTTTTTAGTCAAATCAATATTTGAGCAAAAGAATTTCAAGTGTTACCTTTAGTGTTCAGTTGGGCAAAAAGCGAATGATCATAAAGAGAAGTGAAATATGACTCATGTCGAAGAAAATACCAATTGAGTAGCAACATTTCGTCGATATCAGTCAGGTCAAATATTTGCTTCAGTATTTTATATAGCTATATAAAGGTCACATGTTGCTATCGGTCAGTCTTTGTCTCTGTTGACGGTCACTTCGTTGAAGAGTGGCGGACGTCACTTTTCATTTTTGCGTCTAGACGCGATTCGAATGCGTTGTGATCCAAAAAATATTTACATGAGTACTCTTACCAACGACTTTATCCTTTATATGTTGAGTAACGAACAAAATACTCTCCTTGGTAGGTTCAGAAATAAGTTTCAAGAAAAAAAAAACGTTAGAGATATAGTCATATAAACAAATAGTACTGGATAAGTACATTTGATTACAAGTAAAACACGGGTTCAATAGTAATTTTATTCTTTATTCGAAGATTCTTTGTGTCTGTCCGAAAAATGAAGTGCGCGTCTAAACCCAAAAATAGAAAAAATCGTTAACGACAAGAGGAGATTTAACATTTGTTAATATTAGTACGTATGTTTTTGAATTTTGGTCGAACAACAATAAGCAATGCTGTAGAAGCATTCCAGTATAAATATAGTATTGTGTTGCACAATGCGCTGAAATCAAATTGTCAAGCACAAGCTCTTCGATTAAAGTCTTAGTTTATGAACACAAATATCGGCCGGCGTTTTGTTGAAGTTGCGAACTTTCATATTTCAGTTTACAAAAGTGGGCCGATGCCAAGCATTTGTGGCTTTGTTGGTTCTGGTTGCTTACTTGGTGTTCACAAATGGTCAACTATGCACTCAATATGATTATGAAAGACAATATCCTGGATCGAAATATTGCGAAAAGGGTTGTTGTCCATCAAAATATTCTTCAGTTCGTCGTCCAGTCAATCTCGATATATGTTGTCCGTTGAGTACGTATTGTTGCACCATCAACTATATTCTAGGATGTTGTTTGACGCTTGCTAAAAGTGCTAAATTTGAAAAGGATACATTAACAGTTGACAGTCTCAAAATGACTATCAGTGTAAAATAAAAAAGAATATGAGATTGTCAAGAGACTATGACTTTTGAGAAGGGAATTTTTTTTGAAAATCTTGTAAGTGGAAGCTGCTAATATTTGATCAAAATAAATTACTGCATTATAATAGCTTGTTACTCCACGTTGGACTGGAGTTCTAATGACCATTCCAAAAAAAACGAAGCGGGTGAGTATTGTTTGAAAAGCTTTTCATAGAAACAAGACAGAGAACTGTGGTTTTCATTGTTGGAAAGAGGCTTATCCAGCACATTGGTTCATATAAAATTGTTGTAGTTTATTTCATAAATAAGTAGTGATCCATGGTCATCTTGAAAGAGTAGACTGTTGGTCTATGAAGATAGAACAAATCTTAAACTTTGAGGAGTGGACTAGAATCGCCAGCTGACGAGCTACAAATCTACGAAAAGTCGGCATTTTAATTTCAATTCGTTTAAAAGGTATGAGGCAAATACTAACGATGCATGACCGAGTTGTCAATTTTATTTTGTGCAAAATATTTTTCAAATTATTGTTAATGATGCTTTAGATCATGACGGATCAATTGGTAATATTTATTATACTATAGAACAATTCTTCTTCTATCAAAATATTATTACCAGCGATTGTATGATATTACTATCTCTTGAGAGTAAAGGTCTGCAAAATGGTCACGGTCACGTGTAACCGATGACCAGGCTTACAAAGTATTGATAGAATCTATCGAGTTTTCACAAATTAATGCAATTCTTAAAAAAAATTTGTAATTGTGTAAACCAACGTCCCCAGATCCTCCATATTTTCACGAAAATTTCGAATTTTCTGCAAGTTTTTCCAGAATCTCTCCGGTTTCCGAAATTCAGATGCTTCTACCTGAAATATGTTTGATTTGTTTATTGATATTTATCAAGAAATATTCATGATTCAGCACAGACTCAGTCTTTTCTTTGATTTTATAAAGCTAAAGAATAATATTATTGAGAAAAACTTACTTCAGCTGATACAAACTGATCCTCAAAATCTTTCCAAAATGTTTTTTCGGATCTAGAAAAGACAATTGTGGATTTTGGAATCTGCATTCCAGATTATTGACTTTAACATCTGGCAATTCTGGAAGTAATCAGCAATAGATACTGTTACCTAGGAAAACTATGTTTAATGCCAACGGTCCCAAGTGTTCTCGAATTCCATATACTTCTCATAGTTATGAGTCGTGATCGTGACTAAAAATCGTGGTCACGGAGATCTCCACTTGAGAGCAAGGGTGGATAAGTTTAAACAGGATTATTCAAAGCAAAGTATATGACATTTCTGAACGTCGTTGAAATGGTTTTTGATGGCATCTGAAACAGTTCAATTTTATTCTATTTTATTTGGAGAATTCAATGATTACCTTGTTGTTTTTCAGCTGAATAAGTTAATCTGATTGGATTTGTATCGTAATATTCGTCGTTATGAATTAATTTATAAAAATGGTAAATGATATTATAAAGGATCCCGCCGAATAATTGGCATCTCTTCCCTCGGATCTATCTGAAACGTATACCAGAAGAAAGCCCACATGTTTTTACGTGTTTTCTTGTATTATTTCAGATTTTGACTTAGACAGGAAAAACTTCCTAGGGTCATCATTATTTTCGGCTTCGTCTAAATTTTTGGTAACAACAATGCTTTGTGCTTCTTAGTGGGTACACATAAGAGACTTAGTTTCAAATTCACATGTTAGGAACAGATGCGCCTTGCTTTGCTGTACAAAATCCGTGTACCGAGTCGTGCATAACCTTTTGCTAGCGGGTAGCATTATGATTTCAAGTTGCATACCTAATGAATTTTCTACCAGATTAAAGCCCGTAAAAAACTGGATCCAGAGATATAGTCATCACTTTGATAGATAAGGTTACCATTTCATATTTTAGATATATACTTAGGGCATACCAAAAGTGGTGCCAGTAACACTTTAATACCATATAGTCGGCTGAAAAAAATTTTCTTTCTATATAGTCTTCATGAGAAAAAAAGCTGTATCTTTCTATGCTATTTGATCATATTTCCACAGATATAGTAATAATAGATTTTCGATAAAATCTGTTTTGTTATGACATCTGTTCGATGTATTAATATTAATTTTACAAAACACGAATGAGTATTTTTTGAATAACGTTTAATAAAAACAAGATGCAGAGCTGCAGTTTTTGGTATTAGAAATAGGAGATGGAGACACATCGAATTGTATATTCCAAGGTTTTCTGATATGTTTTTTGTAACGTTTTCAGTTG